CCCAAGATCTAGAGAAGAGAATGGAGGAGGGATTGTGTCATGGCCATCCCCACCGGAGGGTATTTTCTCGCATTCCATCTCTCTCTCTCTCATTCTCTCTGGCAAGTGCACGTGCCCTATAGCAAAAATCTTTTTCTAAAAACAAACAAAAAGTTATGCAGTGATTAAGTGCAAAGGACAACAGCAAAGAACCTAGGCCTTTTGATCACAGATCCTAAGTCCCTTTGCCTGTACAGCCTTTCTGGCTCAGTTCACTTGCTCTTTCCCCACACCCTGCTGCTGAGATACTTCCTTACCAAAGAAAGAACTCTGTAAAGCCAGGCTTCTCAGCAGGTCATGCTGGGTGGCATTCAACAAGGACATAAGCTCTGCTTCTTACTCCCGACAGGCCACCTTCAGGTTTAGAGCCATACTGGACCCAGCTGATTCCTGCTCAAGTTCAATGACATTGATGGACAGGAACGACAGGAAAAATGACAGCAAGTTCTTGTTATGTTATGAAAGAGCCTAGCATCTACAGTGCTGACCTACAGATGAAGATTTACAGTCTTGACTGATGACAAGCCTCCTTGGGATGCCACTTCTTCCAAGGATGGACTGCCACCATCAAGTAAAGCACCAAAAATACAGTCCAAAGTCTTCCAGTCCGGGCCTATGACCATGAGCTTGTCTGCTTACCAAGAGGAATAACGGTGAAGGCAGACATACTAAGCTCCTTGTGAAATGGCTCGGTTTCTCTCCCAGCACAGATACTTGGGATCAAACAATTCCTTGTTGGGAGAGACAGGGACGATTTTGTGTGCCATGGGATTTATCTAGATCTAGCAACATTCCTCTACCTGGTAGATGCCAGTAGCAAACCCCTTCCTCCAGTATGACAATCAAAAATGTCTCCGTACAGTGTGAAATGTCCCCAGGGGAGCAAGATAACCTCCAGCTAAGAACCGCTCATACAAACCCTGAACTATTCTGCCAACTTCTTGAAGAGATCCTTGACTTCCGGCGACAGATGATGTTGATTTTCTCATTGCTCAAACT